AGCCCATAATTTTATGAAAAGTAGGTCACGTGATGGCTTAGCTGCAAAGGGCCTATTGAAGGCCTTCACCTCCAAAAACGATCAGCCATCATAGAGGGGGGCAGAAATTGAAAGGCAAAGACAACAAAGAGCAGTTTATTACCCTGGATATTTCCTTCACTAGCACTTGGTTAGAACACTCTCTGGGGGAGGCACGAGCAATGCAACTGGGATAATTGGCGGTCATGTGATATTAAAATGAATTTAGATCATGCAAGATAATAATCAGATCCGAAAAAGAGCTACATGAAGGGTGGTGTGTTGCATTGATAAAATCTTTTTTTAACCAGTTTCCTTTCATAGCACAAGCTATTTCCGCCAAAAAAAACATGTGTAGCTCTCCCTTTGCGTGACTCTTGGAAATGATCGTTTTCAAAGCTCACGCGACCGATAATTCCTTGCATGTATTTAGTCATGTTTGATTTCGCTCTTTTTGTATTTTCTTCAGGCTAGATTTACTTATCTTAATTCTTAATCGCTCAAAAACATACAAGAAAAATACAATTAATGCAGCCAAAGCTTTCATTGCTTTGTCATTGGTTGTAATTGGGGTACGCGATCGCGCGCGAAACGAAGTGAATTGATCTTATTAAAGGCGTGCAGCGAACAAACAACAGGCAAATTAAAAGAAACGATAAACATCCAAACGTATACATGTTTTAAATTATATAAAGCATTATCAAAGCGATCATACAGTGGAGCAGATACATATAGCATATTATTAAAGCGAGAAATTTGCGTGTTGAAAAGGATGTGTTTTGTTGCCATTGTCATATGATACCGCATCAAGCTAACATCCATTAGCTAGCCTCATCGTAAGGCCTTTTATGTTGCTTCAACACTTGCTTCAATGCAAGGCGAGCTAACAATATCGACAGAGGAGCTAAGCGAAATGAAGACTGCAAACGGGTTGCATTTAACAGTGTCGCAGGAAAACTGTTCACTTTGATGTTAGAGACATATTTTGTGGCCAGTTTTCTTTGCTACCCTTGGTCATCCTTCTTTCATCGATCAGTTCTAATTAATGCCTCGTCACAGAATGGAAGATAACCCTGCTAACACTGACTGTGAAACATGTATCTTCTTCTTATATATATTTGCTGGAGAAACGAATGGCTTTTGTCCCACGAACATAGAAGAAGAAGAAGAGAAAACTATTGTTACACTGTACAATTTAGAATGTAGGTTTTTATTTTTATTATTATTTTTAATTTTTAGAAAACTATTCAAGCATATTTGTCCCTGACTGGTGAGACAGTGCTCACACCTGTGCGTGCATTATTTATTTTTATCGCACTGCTTGTTAAATCTTCCCCAAAGATAAAGGCGTGTTAAATAATGAAAAAGAATTAAATTTTTCTACCGGCTTCTAGATGCAAGAAGAAACAGAATGATTGCCAACAAACCTGCAATAAGAAAACGAATGCGTTTAAAAAGTGTTAAACAAGGAGAAGGCCTAGCTGTCCAAAACAGTACGTCAAATCGTTTGTTGTCGGTTGGAAACCCGTTGCTGGGTAAATATTTTGCGTTATTTGCCCCGCAAATTAACTCTTCGAGCTTGATATTTTCTTTAAGGTACACATGTATTCCAGTTGTTATTAACCCTTCTCGCAAGTTTTTGTGTTTCTTTTTTCCGGTTATAATCCCGCAGTCACAGACGTACTCAATATTCGCAGCCTGCAACATTTTTGAGTGACCCTTCCTGTTTATTGCTTGTTGATGTCACAGAAGAAGAAGTTGTCTGTCTTGTAAAGACTCTCGAAAAACAAAATGGGAACCTGCTAAGTGGCGAATTAAAATCCCCGAGAGGAATAAACAAACAAACGCACAAAACAAACAACAAGCCGCTAAAGCTTTCGGCTTAGTAATTACTTTGGAAGAGCTTTTTCAATAAGCGAAAGGATGTCCCAGCAACAATAGAAGAGGTGTAGCAATATTGGCGATTTTCAAGAAACAAAATTTACAGACGCTGTGCCGAGAGCCTGCAAGCGCCTCAGCCAATCACATCGCCGCGCTTCCAATTAACTGTCAATCAACTTAAACAACTGGTTGTCAGTTTCTTCCATACTTGCAGGATCGAGGGATCAACTCGTCGAGTAGTTCGAATGTAGAGTATTACGGGGCTCAAAACATGGCGAATTGCTGCACCAAGAACGAGAAAACGGAGCCTGTAGGGATTAAATTCGAAGGGAACAACATTGAACAAAATATTGAGACATGGCTTGACGAACATCCCGAATTCGTTCACTCGTATTTTTCTCGTAAAGCAAGCAGGACTCTTATTGACTCTTGGCTTCAGTCACGCTCTGTACGAACTCCTACTCCCAGCGGAACACCTCCTCCTTCAGGATCGTCGACTCCGGTTCGGAAAATTTCTGCCTCTGAATTTGAAGGCAGGGGAATTTTAAAACCATTAGTGAATGTTGTCGATGGGCAAGCAACGTTTCTTTCGCCCAGCGAACCCTCCAGGGCGCGCTCGCCACATCGAAATCGCAAATCGCGAGTCGAACTCCAACAACTGGACGAAAAGGAGCTCTTAATGGAACTCGTCAAGGATATCTCAAACGATTTGGATGTGAAAAGTCTTTGTCACAAAATCTTACAAAATGTTAGTATTCTTGTTAATGGAGACCGCTGCTCGCTTTTTCTTCTTCAAGGCCCGAAAGATGGGCCCCGCTATCTCGTTTCGAAAGTGTTCGATGTGAATGCGGAGTCAAAACTTGAAGACATGCAAGGATTGGAAGAAATTCGAATTCCATTTGGCACAGGAATTGTAGGATATACAGCAGAAACAGGAGAAGTGGTGAACATTGCGAATGCCTACGAGGTAAGCGGTAACAAATCTTGGTCATGACGCTCGCGCGCGTGCTGTGCTTTTCGTCTACCGGTTGCTTAGATTTCTGTTTTCTTTTTCCTCTGGTGAGATTCCTAGTTGCGTAGCAGTTGTAGTAATTTTGAATTAAGTCTGTTTAACTCTCGCATTTATCCACTTTTCATTGGTGCACGAAAGGAATAGTACATCTTAAGTCGTGGAACATTTTATAGTTCATAAACTAAAATGTTTGGCGCCTACAGCTTTGGTCTCGAATTCCTGGTAATCGATTATGTGCAGTGCTGGTTTTGAGAGCTTACCCCCTTTGGCGAATTTAACTCGGTAAACGCTGTGCCCGAACTTTGTAGATTCTCCTTAGAACAAGGCGAAATATTCGCTTAATTTCCTAGAGCCGTCAAATTTGCTAGCGACACCCTGGAAACAACCTCGGCCGCGAACACTCTGTCATGTCGAACGACTATTTTTAGTAGTCGTTGGGTTCGATTTCGAAGATTTTCTGTTTTAAGATTGTTTGTAAAAGGAAAGCGGCACCACACTTAAGTCGTCTACTGGGGCTGGATTTGTTAACCTAGTTTTAGTAATCAACTACAAACTAGCGTCGCTTTCACGGGAAATCGGGAGGTTTTCGTCAAAACATCATACTTATAATTGCCGTCCCCCTGTGCGGACATGTTTACTGCTATACTTTGTTTACATACATCGCGATTGGCGCTGAACGGTCGGCAAATTCAACGAGAGCTTGTGTCGTTTGAATTATCAATGGTAAAATAAAAGGTTAATCCGTAATTCCTTTTCGGTTAGATGCACATTGCGAAATATCCAGGCTCGCATGTCGGATCATTCGAAAATAATCACAAACGATATGAAATGCTATTGCCTAAAAATTCAATAAAGTACAGTCTGTATTGAATTTCCAGTAGCAGTTTATTTTTATTTTGTCAATGGCAGTCAGTTCAAAAGTTCATTTTCTCGTGTGGTTCGGTTGGTAAAGCTTGAGCGACCCTAAACGTAAACCGGAGTAACTTTTGTAAAGTTAAAAAGTAGCAGGTTTGTTTTTTCAGGGTGTCGTCTCGGTCTGACGGAAATAATTCTTGTTCTGTGTATCGCTCGTGTCATGTTTTTTTGTGGCTGGTAGCAAAACAGTGCGAGGCTTTCTCGCAGAAAGAATGGCTGGTTCTTATTTCGGGCCACATTTACATTGAAAAAGATGCAAGATATTTATGATTATAAAAACAGACTCCATGTGTCACGCGAGGTGATTAAGTGATTTGCTATAATCCTTTCTTGTAGTGCCACTTTAGTGTTTTTTTGCTCGAATGACATATTAATTACTATAGTTAATGTTCTCTAGGCGCTCTGAGGAAATTTTGTTTTTCTTTACTTCGGAATATTAAACCTCGGGAGAAATCGAAGAAAAATAATTTGCTCTAGAGCATGTAATAGCCGTCTTTGTTATAAAAAGGTCGGCCATCAATTTTTCCATTGTATACACGTAATATTATGGCAGGACAAAACAGAGCCACCAAAAAATAAGGATTTATGTAAACAATTCTATCTTGTGGCTGAAAGCTCTCTCCTTAATTAAACTGAAATTTGTCATTGACCGGAGGTGACGGGCGCGATTCGTTATTTGTAATTTCTTTTACAGGAAAGCTGTGAGAAGGTTTTTTGATTGAATTGATTTTGAACCACAAAGCATTATTTTTTTTCCCTTCAAAAGAGTGCAGATGTTAAATGTAAATTAGAAAGTAATATATAAGCTTAAATGAATTGAGAATTTGCCAGTATGAACTGGTATTCATTCCCATTGAGAGATTCCTTTCCGAATAGTGCACGATGACCTGTGTAAATACTTCATAAGTTGAGTTTTTAAAGTGCGAAAAATTTCTAATTGATGCCTTTACTGTCTTCTTCAGCTAGAATATTTTGATAAAAAAGTCTCCAAAATTTTGCATCAGACTCATAAAATCAGGATGAAATCAAATTTATCGATCAACCCGTCTATATTGCCTGGATCTTGGTGTCAGCTCATGTGTATCACTATTTTGCATATTGTGTTGATGGGGTACTATTAATCTTTTTTTTCATTTTAAAATGACAAAAACATCCTTGTGATAGATAAAATTGTATTTAAATTAAGTTTTCTTGTACTAAGGGATGCCTTTTATGGACTGATTACAGCTGTTTTTTTCATGGTCTTTTAAGATGTTTCTGTAAGCGGCAGCATTATTGTATAAAGCTTTACATGTATCTTTAGAGTGAATGACGAAATGTAGACCCTGATGTAGTAGTATAACTAAGTAAAACAGACCCCAACTTGGGCATTGCTCTCTCTGTTTGTCACAATATAAGGAAATAACAGATTTTTCAGTCACTAAAACTCAGGTGGTTATCATTCATTACACCAGTCTGTGGGCCAGCGCATATTTGAGTCACAGGCGTGGGCCAAGTTGAAAAGCAAAGCTGCATGTATTTGGCAGGGGTGAGTTTGGTGTTGAGGTGTCAAGATTCTCGTGGCTTTACCATTCATGCATGTGCTCCCCCTAGCCCTGTGTGTCTGCTCGCAGGCTACCATTTCACTGCGTTTGAATTCAACATTGTTGGTTATGGAAGTGCACAGTAAACCAGAGGTTGGGAGGGGAAGTCTTAAATATCGTTCTTTCGGGGAGGAGACAGGTTCATTGCCGAGGATTCAGTCAAAATGGTGGTTTTGTTAATAGTGAATAAACTCAAGAATTTAAAGGTCTGGGTTTCTTAGCCCTTGCCCAGGTTCTTATACTGTCTTTTTTTGGTAACACTGAACTCTCACTGCCTCTCTCTACCTTGGAATATAAACAGATAGCAGTGAACCACTCAGACAGCCTAGAAAATTGTTTGGGTTGGCATAAAAACGCATTTAGGAAGAGGTGCAATCTCGACCTCTTAGTTACATTTTGCTTCAGAATTAAGTGTTAACCAGTGTTCTGATTAGAAGGCTATGGAAAGGACTATTTGTGATTTAATAGAAAGGGAGACTTACATGTAATAGCAGTTTGTTGCCTCCAATCTGATTGACATTCTGATTTTGGTTCATGCAAGCAGTAACATTAAATTGTGGTGATTTTTTTTTCGTGGCAAGTTCGGACTCAATAATAATTATGAAAATCCAGATGATGTAGATTAACTTTTTAATCCAAACTAAACTTACTAGAGATACATGCTCTGCAGAATCATGCATGAATGCAAAGAGTAAGGTCTAAATGTTCAGCGTGGAATCTGTCTGATTCCAGGCAATATAATTTTCAGACACTACTGTTGTTATTACCGGTATACTGGTAAGGCTAAAAAGCGAAACACAAATAAAGAATACAAGGTGGTTTGAACCCAGGCTATCAGAATGAAAAGCTAGACAAATGTTTGTACCTCTTTGGTGTGCCTGTTCCATTTGATGTCATTCTTTTGTGTGTACATTGTGAGGATTAGATAAAAATATGTGGCTGTAAACTCTTCACAAAACTTGATTCCTCTTCAGTTGTTGGTCCAACAAAATTGTAGTGCTTAATATGCGTTTGTTCGCCAGCTTAGCCTTTTGCTGAAAATATATCAGGGTATCAATTGAATTATATTGGGTTTAAAATTGTTGGCATTTCAAGTCATTGAAATGTAATTTTCTTTTAAAAAAAAGAAGCATCAATGGTACTGAGAACTCCAAGTGACTGAAGGAAGTAAGATTTGGAGATGTGACATCTGACAAGAACATTGCAGTACTAAATGTAGTATACTATTATTATTGCTGATAGTGGTTGAAGTTTAATAAAGGTACCTAAATGACAAGGAATAGGTTGACCATCAAATGAGCACCAAATATGTCTTTGAAAGTAAGAGTATCAATCTTGAAACAAGTTATGTAATCTTCAAATCAAAATCAATTTTTAGCTACTGATTAGGACTTGAACATATTTTTAAACAATTAAAAATACAAAGTAACTCTATAGTAGTTGGCTATTAAAACATTGTAGAACAATTTATAACATTATTACGGTAGTAAAAGCTGGCCTGTAAACAGAGCTCGACGTTGTGACCTGCTGTGGTCGACAATGTGACCAAATTCTTTTTAAATTTTTTTCACTGGCGACTAACTTTCCATGCATTTCACTGATTGAAATACTTTTGCTGGCGACTAAATCTGAAAAATTAGGAGCCAGCTGGCTCCAAGGTGTTTTCCTTGAAGTTGAGCCCTGATAAACCCAATAATTATCTTAAGCCCGTGGACTAGTATGTAAGGGAGGATTTTTGGTATTATCTTTCTAAAAAAGTGCAGGACTTTTTTGGTAGGGGCATTCTAGGACTCTTATTGTTAGCAGCATTTTATAAGCAGCATTTTCAAGCATTCCTGTTACGTACAAATTGGTCAAACAACAAACTTTTCTAGACTAACGATTTTTGGTGATAGAAAAAATCAGAAAAGAGATGTCTGAAAATGACAGAGTAGCATAAATATTGAAAGCAAGGCAGCTTTTATTTCAATGAATTTTTGTAGAATGTGGCCACAATTATTCCCAGGAAGTGTGTGTAGGAAGAGTTCTACAATTTCATTTTTAAAATGAAATTTTCAGTTTGGTGCTTATTATTTAAAGTGAAAGATTTCTATCTAAAACTGCATGATACAGCCAACTTCCCTTAGGCTTTAAATAAGATAATTTTTTGCATAGTAATGACACTTGAGTTGATATTTCTGTGTGCCAAGTTCATTCCAATAATTCAGGCAAGAATTTTTTTCTGGTTTGAATTACCTTCAAAAGAGATGAAGAAACCTGTATCACAGTTCTTCTTGTCAAAAAGAGTTGACATGTGAGATTTGAGAATATGGAGGAATGTAAAATTCTTAAGAAATCTTTTAAGATCATTTGATGGTAAAAATTGGAATTTATTCAGTAAGATCCATGGCAAAGTGACAGACTTGTTCCCACTGTTGAAATCTGCAATTTACCTGTAGTTACCTGAACTTTGGCCTGTATAATTTTATACCAACTTTATTTTGTTGAATTAACTTTTCTCTTTAATACTAATAATACAAGAACTATTGTCATGGTTCACCAATTGGATGAATAAAAGAATGTTACCAACTGTAATTTTTTCAGTGATGTGCACCACAGCATGTCCTCACGGCCGTGTTTTATAATTCATGAATTTGCATACATGTAGTACAATGTTTCATAGTCAAATCCATTTATTTTAATGCCCAGTGATGCAACAAACTGAATTTAAGATATTCGTTAGCTGGCCACTGTTTCACACATGACTGATGAGCCTGTGTTTTTGTGTACTAGTTCACAGATTTATTACTAACAAGAAAAACATGAAAAGTGTAACTGAAAGTAAATTTCTTTTTGTTTTCAGCAGGAAGTTTGTTATCTTTGAGAAAAAGAAACTACAGAAAATTGTAAACAGGAAAAACTACAACACTCCAAACATGGTTTACTAAAAGTGAAATGAAAGGAGCTCTGTCACTTTATTATGAGTTACTGTATTTTTTTGGTGCACAGTATTACCTTTCAATATTACCTTTAAATTGAAGGAAATCTGAAAGTAGTACTTAGTCTGCTAAGATGGAAAAAAAAAACGATAAAGCGTAAACCATTAAAAAAACAAGAATAGTAAGGATGGAGAAGATTTACACAGATTACAAACGATGAACTTGAAAAATTTAGGCTTAACTTTTCAAGATGCACAGATCGTGGTGTAGCTCCTTTAAAACAACTGGTCTGCGTTCAAAGTCAGTCGGGGTATATTTTAAGGACTACATGTAAGGTGATGAGATGTTTTGGTTTTCAGTTTCATCTCTGTTTGAATATCTTGCATAAAACATGTTCCCTGAAAAATGTCATGTGACTAACAGATAACAAAATAATTAAGTCCTGACGTGTTAAAGGATGTCACTTTGAAGTGTTTGTGCAGTCCAGGAGACAATGTGAAGATAAGTTTTCAAGAAGTGATTAATAATATTGCTTTTACCTAAGAATTCATTCTTATTACCTAACCATGCCTGTCTTAGTTGACTATGTTGTGGAGGATTTTCTGAATGACATCACTTTTAATAAGAATTTCTTCAAATTCTGTTTTAATGAAGCAAAGACATAGTTTACTTCCAATTTAATTTCAGAATGAAGCTAAAATTGCCTTTTACGTTTCTCTCGATACCCAATGTTTCTATTAATAAATTCTAATTTTCAATAAGTTTTGTTTTGAATTCTTGTTTTGTTATTTTTCTGGCTAGAGAGTTGACACCAGAGGCAAACCAAGGGGATTTTAAAGCTCAGTAAATAATGGTGAAAAAGTGTTGGTTTAGAATAGAAAGCCCTTTCTTTTATGAGATGCCTGTGTATTGCTGAGAAATTAAGAAATGTATTTTTCCCCTTATACATTAAACTGCTTTACAGATCAATTCATTCATTCTTGTTTGATAGAAATGGATATAAATGCATGTAATTCAAAGGGATATGAATCTCTCTGGATATAAGCTTGCACATAGAGCAAGATGTTTGAAAAGTCAATGAAAAAATTTCAGACAGGAGAATTGGTCTTTACTTTTTTCCTTTAGTTGTTATACGGTCTTATAAATTTTATATTATGTTTTTCTTAGTTGTGAGAAGTGGTGGGCTGGCACGTCAAGGCAATAATAGTTTTCTTTATTCTTGTTTTCTGTTGATCTTCTTGATATCATTCAGGAAGCGAGGGATTAATTTTGCTAATATGAAACAGCTGAAAATGATTTGAAACTGGGCAGCCTGTCTCAGGACAATGGCTGGTGATAATCTATGTTAAGATCTTGGCATTAATATGCTGACATTACTGAACCCATTTGATGTTTCAATCTATTTTTCACATATTAAAAGGAATTTAATGTCTGTAACTTGATAGCTGTCACTGTGTACAAAGTCAAACATGTACAGTCTCCCTGGATACCCAAGGAAACTCTCACTTTTGGATATACCTCACATCTGTGCCTTATATGTAACTAAATACTTCCCTGATTAAGCTCAAGATTAAGAATGAAAAAATCTTCAACTTATTTTCAATTTCAACTCTGAGGAGGTAATAAAAATTTAAGAACAGATGATTTATTTTCATTATTAATAATTAACAGGCTTAGTAATCAACTTTAATTTGTCAAAGGCCGTCTAGTACAAATTCATGCCTTTTTCTGAATACAGGCACCTTTTAAGTTTTAAGTTGAAGGGAACTTTACGAACGGCCGGTGCTTCGCAATGCTGAATTTTTCTAGACTTTCATATAATTTTCAAACCAGGTAACCTACTTATGGAAATTTCATCTTACAGGTCTGTCCATTTCAAATGAGCTGCATTACATGTAGTTGTGTCCTTCTGTAGTAAAATAATTGAAATGTTTCTCTGTTTCTCCCACCCTACCAAAATCCACTTCATTTGACCTCTCTTCTCCACCCATCCCCTTGTCGTAGCCCCATTAAGTTACAGCTGTTAAACTTGTGACGTGCCAAGCAGCTCTCACAACACTTACCAGGATTGGCTGAGAAAAAAAAAAGCACACAACAGAAACAATGAACCTAGCCCTTAATGCAATAGAGGTGTGTGAAATAGCAGGCAAGTGAGTCTATGTCCTCTGAAGTGCATCTCTCTACCTCTTTCCAGCCACAGGAAAGTAGCAGTATGTCCCTTATTTTACAATGGAGAAAAACAGTGCTGATTGCACTGTCTAGTGAATTTCTTGATATACGGCTTCATGACTTGATATCATCAATTTTGCAAGTGTATTTCCCTCAACAGGATTCAAGATTTAATCAGGAAATTGACAAAAAGACTGGTTACCACACCAGAAGCATTCTTTGTATGCCCATCCTTGATCACTATCATGGCGAGGTACAGTATGACTCTAACTTGCAAAATTTGGGGCTAGATGAATCCAGGGTTTTAAAGAGTGGATTTTGGGGAGTGGTTGTAGATGACCCTAGGGAATCTGGGGTAATGTTCCTGCAGTGCATTAATTCTTACAAAATTTAGAGCAAGGCAAATCCAAGGTTTTAAAAAGGTGATTAGTGGGAGGGTTTGTGTGCAGGAGAGCCAAATCTGGGATGAGTGGTGGCCTCATGGCTACTGCGCTTGACTCCAGATTGATTGATCGGGGTTTCAGTCCTGGCCGGGGACGTTGTGTTGTGTTCTTGGGCAAGACACTTTGCTTTTACAGTGCCTCTTTCCACCCAGGTATATAAATGGCTACCGAAAAATTTAATGCTGGGGGTAACCCTGCAATGGACTAGCATCCCATCCAGGGGGGAGTAGAAATACTGCTGGTCACTTCATGCTACAGAGACAGGGATAACCTCTGGCCTGATGGGCCACTTGGCTCGTATGCAGACTTAACCTTTTACCTATCTTAGGCATGAGTGGCAAATCCCTGGGTGGTTTGCATCCACTCCCCCTACAGTGCAAGACAAATACATATGTAACTTCTCTTGGAGACAGTTGTAACCAACCTAATCCTTTCCTCGGATCCTGGAATTGGATCCTTGGAATTTCTGCATTTGTCAGAATTTAAGTTTCATGTTGTGTGAAAAGCTTTTAATTAATCTGTTGAATGTGATTTGGTGTTTGGTGACTCTGTTGCATACAGAATATTTTGCTTTATAATCAAGATACATGTAGGTTAAGAAAACAACAGGCTTTGTTATCAAACTGGTCTTACTCTATTGCTAAATGTCACTGATTGAGAAGTAACATGCATTTAAACTCCTTGCTTATTTAGGTTATTGGTGTTGCACAAGTTATAAATAAAAGAGGATTTCTAGATCACACGTTTACCAGAGAAGATGAAAAGGTATGAAATGAAGTAATTAAGAAATAGAAAACACTTAAACAGTTTTTCCATCGAGTTATAGAAACATGAGTGGAAGTTTAGGAGGATGAAAAAAGCTGTGGGGACACGAGCTGACAGACAAGTGTCTCCATGCAGGTTTTTCAAGTTCTTCCAGATTTTCACGGCTGTTTCTATTTTGGTCATCAAAATGTAAATTCTAGTGTAAATTCTAATGGTTAGAGTTCTGGACTCTGGATCAAGCGGTCTAGGTTTCAGCCCTGGTTTTGCATTGTGTCCTTAGGCAAGATATGTTACTCTCACAGTGCCTCCCTCCACCCAGGTCTATAAATGGGTTCCAGCGAATTTCATGCTTTTCCAAAGGGACATACTTGAATTGGAAAGTGCCTTCTGCTTCACATTTTCCATTTATTCCACTTTTGAGCTCTCACTTTTGTTATTTATATTATTCACCCTCACATGACTTTCCCTGTTGTCAGTTTTGAGTGAATTTATTCATGTGGATTCTTGTTACTGATGATTTAGTGCTGTGCTCTGGTTAATTTGAGGAGTTACACGTAACCTTTAAAAATACTGTAGTTGTAGTCAGGCATAGTAATAAAATCTTAAAAGTTGTTGTCACTGACTTAAAAATCTTAAAATAGACGTTTTNAAGCCTGATAGGTGGGGCAGTTGATGGAACTGGTGATGGGTCTCAGTGGGACCTCGGGTTTATGTATCTTTGGTAATCCATAGAAAGTAGCTGGTGTGGGATCAGTGCTTCGGAGTTTGTAGTACAATTTGTCGTCGAGTTGTTGCGCACCGGGATCATGGATTGATTTTTGATCTTTGATTTGTTTGAGCAGAGCGTTCAGAGATTTCTCTGTGCTCAACGCGGGATTTTTGCGCTGGTCTGAAATCTTTGTGTAAGTGTTTTCATCTTGTAGCAGGCCATATATCTTTTGTTGATAGTCACTGCTATCCATCACCACTACTGCGCGGCCTTTATCTGCGGGAAGGATGGTGACTGATGGATCTTTCAATAATGCTTTCAATGTTTCAAGGTGGTCTTTCTTTATGTTAGATTGATGTGAAGGTTTGCTTCCCTTTAAGACTGAAACTGTCTTTGCACGGATAAGATTAGCTGATGCAGGTGGTAGATGTTTTATCCCAGATTCAACAGATGATAGGATCTCTGTGATGAGCAACTTCGTTGGTGTAATCGCGATGTTGAAACCATAGCTCAGTGCTGTTTTGTCTTAATCGTTCAGGGGCTTGTTAGATATATTCACCACCCATCTCTCTGTTGGGTCATTCCCACGGTTAACTGAGGGGTAATCTGAGCGATTATCGGGGAGGTTGTAGAGAAGTCTCTGAAGTTTGTCTTGATGGATCGAAACCATGTGTTCAGATTCAACGGTTGCTTTGTGTTCGACGGTACTTGTCAGTGTGGCCATGCTGTGTTCATCCAGAGATTGCTTGAGATCAGAGCAAAGTCTCTCTACTTAACGGCAACGTTTGTGGATTTGGATGTGGCAATTATTGATGCGGAGTCTCAGGTACGCGAGACCTGCTTTCTTAACAATGTTGTACCCTTCTTTACATTTGATAGGAGGGTTGAAATGAAGAGTTTTTGGAAGAACTCTGTTATCCTTGAGTCTGTGGTTGAAGTTCAGGTGGTTTTTGAATCTTGTGATCACTAGCATTTCCCTTTCAAAGTTTCTGGCTGTTCTTAAAGTCTCCAAGCCATTCTTGTCACGAATGAGTTTAAAAATACTGTAGTTGTAGTCAGGCATAGTAATAAAATCTTAAAAGTTGTTGTCACTGACTTAAAAATCTTAAAATAGACGTTTTGGCTAAAATACTATAACCTTCTTCAGTGATGAAATGAATGTTAATGGTGTCAGAGGTTTTGTTACTTTGCCATATTTTCAAGGAATCTCTGAAAAAATTGCAAGAACTTTGGGACAATTCGACGTAAATGTTGCTCATAAACCCATCAAGACGGTTGGCTCGATCCTGAAGAAACCGAAGGACAAATTCGATCAAGACCTGTCAACTGGTGTCGTGTATAAAATCAATTGTAAAAANATTTACATTTAGACGCCATTAACATTCATTTCATCACTGAAGAAGGTTATAGTATTTTAGCCGAAACGTCTATTTTAAGATTTTTAAGTCAGTGACAACCACCTTTAAGATTTTATGTAACCTTTACTTCATATTGCAGATATTTAGCAAATACTTGGTCTTCTGTGGAATTGGAATTGCTAATGCAGAACTCTATGAGAGAGCACAACTTGAAATTAGAAGAAACCAGGTGCACTGTAATTTGCATTATAAATATTTTATTATTTTTACCAAAACGATGTATCTATATTGAAGAAGATCACAGTCTGACTCTTACTAACGACACTCAGTCTTTGAAATTATGTCCAGTTTTATAACTTACTGCTATTTAAGGATTGACAGGCATCGTGTGTTTCTCAATCTGGCACTCTCATTACTTACTGTTATTTAAGGGTTGACATGCTTTGTGCCTTTCTCAAACTGGCACTTTCCCCAACTGATGCTGGAAGCTTTCCATTGGTAAAGTTCAGTCTGTACAATGCAAATTGGTGGTAGTATGGAGACTGGAAGATAGATGCTTAATATCTATCACCATCGCAGGCTGGTTGTGCAGCTAAATTGCTGCTATTTTTTCCATTTTCAAATATGCTTAGCTTCTCTAGATTATCTGATAAATACATTTTAAATTTCTACTTTCTAGGGGTTTAATTTTAGACATGTTACCTGAGTGACAAAATCTGGTCATGGGTTGTGGTCCTGGTTGGATTTTTGAGTGGGAACTCTACAGTATGAATTTTTATGTAATATCTCAGACACAACAATTACGGTGTTTGACCACATTTCCAGACACTGAGAAGAGATTTGAAAATATGACGGTAGCAGAGTATTTTTTATGATCCTCTTAATGTTTGGAAATGTCGTCAAACACTGTCTGCAGTGTGTGAGATATATCTTCTAAATCAAATCTAAAACTTAGGAGAAAATGGAGAAATAAAGTGACTTGTAAAAGTCTATGGTAATTAAGATCATGTATCCATACACCAACATGGTCATGATTTCCTTTGTTTAAACTTGATGAATTATTAATAAGTTTGAGAAATTTTAAACTAAAACTAAGGAAGAAACAGAGAAATAAAATACTAATTTTTTTATCTGTTCTTTTTTTCCTAGGTTTTACTAGATCTAGCTAGGACAATTTTTGAAGAACAAAGCACGCTTCACAACATTGTACAGAAAATTATGATGATCACACAAACTTTACTTCAATGCGAAAGATGTTCAGTTCTTTTAGTCGATCCCACCTCAAAGGTATGTACAACATTCAAACATTGTTTCGTTCAAGTTGAAGTTTGTTTAGAACTGTTTTGTAACAAAAAAATGAATCACTATATTAAATAACCTCTATTTAACCTTAGTCAGTGTTTGTAGCCAAAGTTTAGTGGGGCCAAGCAAATCAATCAAAGTGAGACCTAACTAAGTTAAAAGCCCCAACTGGTAGGAGGCAAATCAGTTGGATATAATGTCTATGTAACCAAGGAGATAAATAAATTTCAGGACTTCTAAGAATAACACCAGCCAGCAGCCAGAACAGGAGTTGAACCTGTGACCTCCAAAATTCCAGATTGGCACCCTAGCTTGGGGTGGATACATGATTTTGGAGAAGAAGGTTTAAGATACGTACTGCCAAAGCCAGTCTCCTTTGGAGGGGTCTGGAATCTGGAAAATTTTTAAGATTGAGGTCCTTAGAAATGGGATTTCTGGCATTCTGAGGCCAAGTCAGTGTGTTCTAATGTCTCATTTTTTTAATTTAGGGGGTTTGACCAAACCCACCAAACCCCACCCCTAGATCTGCTCCTCTGCTGATGGATAAGTAATGATTTGTTGTCTATTTTGTTGCAGACTCTATTTTCTCAAGCATTTGATTTGGAGGCACGGGACTATCTGAATGAAGATGACCAGACTGTTGTCAAACACAGATCTTGGTAACAAATCATTTTATTTCCCATATATGGATTTTATTAATTACATACATATATTGAAATTCATACAAGCTTTTGTTCAGTTATGTAAATGTTCCAACTTCAGTTAGGGATGGACCATTATTTTTTTGAGTAGGGAGGGGGGGATGTTAGGGAATTTCAAAACAAATTCCTGTACAGCAAAAAATGGCTGAAAAAAAAGTCATGTAAGGGGAGCCACGGGGAAAAAACATTGAACAATTGCTTTCTACTATCCAGGTCCTGTGTTTGACTTTATAAAAAAAATTCTTGTACAAGCTTTTGCCCACCAAAAAAAATCATGCACAGCCTAAAGGTGAGAAAAATTTTTATGCCCCCGAAAATTGCCTGAACCACCAAACCCCTCAAAAAAATAATGGTCCATCCCTTACATCATGGTATGTGTGTTAGCTTTAAAGTGGTACTATGACGAAAATCCCATCTTTCCTATCTAAGCCATTTTAACACATATACAAGTAGTCTGTTCGAGAAGAAAAATGCGGTTTACTATTTTCATATATCTCTTTTCGTTCCAGAGATATTCAAGTTTTTAAAATATGCAAATTAGCCAAGTGATGACGTCATACACTCAACCAAATTTTCATCAAATATAATGAAGAAAGATATCTCAGCCAATTTGCATCAGAAATGTTTGATTCTCTACAGGAAGATCCTGCTAAATGTGCTCTACAATATGAGCTTAACAGTTTTGTTACCATGGCAACATACTGGGCTCCAGACCTCCCCAATATCAATGGCTTTTCTGGCCACCTTTGGCATTCCATTTTGATATTTGCTAATGGTGCCTCATATGCATGATCCAGCAAGCATAT